GTGAGGCTAGGGGTCACCAGGTTTGCCACCTTATTCTTGTCTCTAGATTCGTTGAATAAACAAAAGGACAAACTCTGAACCATGTTTGTATCTGAAGCATGGAAGGGGAGCAAGTGGTCTATGGAGGTCAAGGGAAAAAGGGTCTATAACATTGTTATGTCAAACAAGTTTTGGAGTGGAGTTCAGTTTTGCCTTGATATTTTTAGGCCACTTGTGAAAGTTGCTTCACCTTGTTGATAGCAAAAGGCAACCAGCAATGGGCATATTTTGAAAGCAATGGACGTTGCTAGAGAAGAAATCAAGCATAACTTGAAGCAAGGTGAAAAAGGATTTGGCCCTATCTTGAAAATTGTTCATGGCAAGTGGGATCTGCAGTTGGAGAGACCTGAGACCCCTACACTTGGCAGGGTGTTTTCTCAACTCTATTTATTTCTATTCTGATCCTGAGATAGAGAGAAGGGATTCTATCATGGTCGCATTCAATAAGTGCAAAGTAAGGCTCTACACTGACTCTGATGTCCAAGACAAACTGTCCACGGAACTTGACTTATACAGTTATTCAATGGGGACCATTGGGATGGACTTCGCAATCAAACAAATGACAAAGATATATCCATGTAAGTTGAAGATGCATTTATCATTTCAATTTTCTAAATTTTAAATTTACATAGATAAATGTAATCTACTTATTTTTATTGTTAAATGTATAATAGCCTCTTGGTAGGCCAACCATGGAAAAACTGCCCCCAACATGCAAAAGATGGCACAATGGATATTGAACTTGACTTGTACATCGTCCGACTGCAACTGCAACTGCAACTTCAGCACCTTCGAGATGGTGAATATTCTATTTATCCTCAACCTCATCTCCTATCGATTTACGACAATAACTTTATCGATATTTTTTTTTAAGGTAAAGCATTGTAATATGGAAATGGTAAACTATGAAACAGATACATACAAAGAAGAGAAATAAACTCGAGCAGAAGAGACTAAACGACCTTGTTTTCGTTCAGTACAATCAAAAGCTAAAGGAGCACCATCTAGACTGGTTTCAAATTGAAGATCCCATACTTGTGAAAGAGTTAGATCCAACAAGCGAGTGGTTGGTCAAGCCCAATGTTGGGTATGAGCATGTATTCAAGGGAGAGAGCTTGACATGGACCCGAGTGTAAGAGGCGACTGGTTTGGCATAGAGCCCTATGAGAGCTACTAGATCCCAAATACATAGGAAGGGGAAGGAAGTGACCTAGGAAAAGGGAAAGGGGAAGGGGAAGAAGAAGGTGCAGACAAGGACGAGGACGATGATCATGGAGGAAGAGGAGGATGCAAACTCACAGAAGACAAGGTAAGGAGGTTTCTATGTGGAGGAGGAGGAAGACTCTGATGATGATGACTTGGCATCATCATCAGATTCAGGTGGACTTCATGCCAGATGTCGACCTCGTGTTGCTCGTGATGATGAAACTCAAGCTCATAATTGAGTTCATCATATCTGTGGGGTGAAGAAGAGTTTTTATAGTTTATGGCCTTTGTTGGTCAGATGTGACTTTTTTCTAATGACTTTTGAAACTTTTGTAATTTGTGAGTGACTTGTGATTCGTGAGATTTAAAGGACATCTCGAATTGATTTTATCTTTTAATGTTGCTTTTGAGTTATAATTATTTCATTTACAATCTAAAGTCGTAAAAGTTTATGTTTGATCTGTGCTTCCTTCATCTTAACAGTTTATTATATACAAAACTGATCTGTGCTTCCTTCATCTTAACAGTTTATTATATACAAAACTTATTAAATAAAAAAGGGAAATTATCATAAATATACCTTAATTTTTGGCTTATTAGAAAAACGCTATACTTTTCTAAACCTCGTCGACACCCATTTTATTCACTTTTCGCATTTTGTTGATCAAAATAGCCTTCACAGTAGTCGTATGACCGTGAAGGCAACATGATTTACTAAGTACCGTGATGTTTAATGTTTTGAGGCATCATGATACTTAAAATACCGTGATAACCATTAAAGGTATCATGGTACTTAAAATACCGTGATGACCGGAAGGTGTATCACGGTATATAAAATACCGTTATTGTCTAACCCCTCTCTCTCTCTTCTTTCGAAAGAGATTGTCAGTGACGGAGAAGATGATGACACCGACCTGCGCATCGCACAACACAAAGAGCACGTGCGCCTTCTTGAAGAGTCCCCTCCTCCTCTAGAAATCATCACCTGCCTCACTATGGTTTTGGGAATGAGGATGGGAAAAAAAATAAAAAAGAAAAGGGTTTTCCTCATTAGGTTTATTGTCCCTGGCTTCCCTGGAGCTTCAAGTGGGCGGGCGGCCTTATCAGAGGGTGCTCGCTGTACTTGAGAAATGCCCGGCAATGGAGCGACGCAATTGGCTCCTCAGATTTCTAACTCTTCTCTCTCACTTCTTTCTTGCTCTGGGTGGATGGATAGTTGGATGAAGACCATAATGGTATTTTATGTACCGTGATACACCATGTCGTCATCACGATATTTTAAGTACCGTGACGGAATATACCGTGATGCCTTCACGGTCATACAACTACCGTGAAAGCTATTTTGGTAAAAAAAAAATTGAAAAGTGAACAAAAAGGGGATGGACGAGGTTTAGGAAAATATAAGGCTTTTTTCTAATAAGCTAAAAATTAAGATATATTTTTGATAATTTCCCAAAAAAAAGAAAAAAAAGACAATTCTATATACAATAAAATGGGGGGAGGTGTGGGGGATACAACTTTTAAAAAAAACAACACTGGCTGCCTTTGGGCCTGAGCACCGGTCTTAGCTCCTAGGTGGCCCAGAGCCCAAACCGCCTAGGCTGCCTACGACATCTTGAACATTGATAGAATTAGAAGCAAAGATAGATGTCGATGACAGTGATCGTCCACCTGCTTCCCTTACAATCCCGAGGTCTAACATTCCTTAGGGAACTTCTCTCTTGCAAGGAGATTTGCGAACCCCCTCTGCTGCACAATCAACCCAAAGCACAGCTCCTCTAAGTCAAGGCCTGTCTCCATCATCCATAGCGGTGACACAAAGGCTCCATGATGCTCAGAGGAGCACTAGAAAATTAGAAAAATAGTGTGTTGCTTAAAAAATTGTATCATTCTCTCTCATGATGTGATTGTAAGAGAAATTGTATCTCTCATCTTCTGTAGGACTAGAAATGGGCCGGGACAGCCCTCAGCCGCTATTACCTAAAGGGCTGGCCCAGGCCTGACCTGGCCCTGACCAGGCCAAAAACTGGCCCAAGCCCGACCCTAGCCTATCAGAGCCAAGCCGGGTCTAGCTGAGCTGGGTTAAATAAGATTAAAAAGGGTAAACCAAAAACACAAAGAAAAAGAGGGTCGGGCTGAGCTGTCCTTGGCCCAAGCCCAGCCAGGCCCTAGTAACTTAAGCCAGGCCGACCAGCCCATTGCCACCCCTAATCTTGTCATTGTAAGGGCTGGAGTACACTTTTGGACATCTCTCTCTCTACACCCCTTCTAGTGGTTGTAAAAGCTTGATATTGAAATGTAGACTGCAAGGCCATACTTTTGGACGTTGCTCTCCCTCCCTTCATGTGGTTGTAAAAGCTTGATATTGAAGAGTAGATTGCAAGGCTATAGTTTCTCTCTCTCTCTCCCCCCCGCCCCAAGAATTTAATATCTTATGATAATTTTGCACCTTACACATATAGGTTTCACACACACACACACACACCCAATTAATATTTTATGATAATTTTACACCTCACACAACATTTTACGTCAATAAATTATTCCATGCATATATAGTTTTGGGTTATATTTTCTTACATATAGCCATTTAGAGAAAAAGTTTGTGCAATAAATTTTGCACTAGAAGCTATAAATGTCATAATCTATTTAATGAATTGATTTATCTATTATATTAATGTAATGAACAATGTAGTAGTTTAAGGGTGTGGTTTCCATAAGGTTGCAACCGTAAACAATCCAATTAAGGTGCACCTTCAAATTTTATCATAACATACAATTTTGATGTAAAATATATTTAGGATTATCTCAAAATCTATTATTATATCTAATTATAAAATTTTAAACTCCAAAAATAGTTAAAATCAAGTAGATCTATAAACATATGAAAATATTGAAAATGGACGGTCTAGATAATATGTTGTAAGATGCAGCATTTTTGAGACTCAAAATCCATTTATTTTTCATAGTCATACTTCTCGATGTCGAGATGATCAATCAGAGGGTTTTTCAACATTAAAACAACCTTTTCCAATGGATTTTTGAGGTGCATCCGTAGTTCTACATTTTAAGGTTGCAACCTTATATAAACTTTTTCCGTAGTTTAAAGTTTCTTATTTATTTAATAGAAGATTAATCCTACATATTATTAATCAACAACGATGGGAACTACATTGTAAGGCCACCAATCACTATTCACACTTACACAAGGATCTCGTGTTCTAAGTAAATGGAGCTCGCTCCTATAAAAGTTATCCCTCGCTCCATAATATGTTGGACCATTTTTTTCTATTGCGCTCCTTGAGTTGAGAAACTCAAAAAATTGCCCTTAGGAACTTTGCTTTCAATATATAGGATCTCGCACCCTTATATAATTAAATACTCGATCCCATCTAACAGAGAAGCTCAAACCCCAACACACATGGACCATGATCCCTACATTTAAGGCTGTATGGACATTGATCCCAAGCATAGGGATCTTCAGTGTAGCTTCGCACAAATGGGTCCTGCCCCTAATCCCTGAACCATTCTTGATCCCAAACCCAACAATTGTGCTGTATATTGTTTCGTACACTCAAGGTGTCACTAGTTTCAAAATAAGAAAATCTTAGCAAGTGTGATATGAAACAAGCTATTCAAATAGGATGGAAAATTCTCTCATTTTCATATGAAATTTTCAAATCAGAGGAAGAATGCAATGATTGAGAATAAAAACCTGAGCCTAGGAAAAACATTTCATGCAAGAATACTTGCCTTGAACTAAGCTTCATGCTGTTGGATGGTCATTTTCCTTAGATTAGTTAGCATGGTCAGGATCTTCAATGGCACCTTCTTTCCTCGCTGAACACTTAACCTAATGATGTGCGTGGGAATCAAGAGAGGCCAAAAGAAAAACTAGTGGAAGAGACAAGAGGTTCCACGAAGTCTGAAAATCATGATCTATCATTCCGGCTGGTTGATGTTCAAATTGGAGAAGGCATGATTGAGGGCAGCATGCTGCTTTGTGGCCTGCGATAACTGAGGGCAGCATGCTGAAAACTGAGGCGACGGAGGTGCCTCGTTTCAAGAAATGGAGTTAGGTATGTTAAAGGTGAAATCAAAACTACAGCAACATTTGGCTACCAATGATTTTTTTCCCCATAAAGTTGGCATATGAAAGAGGGAGATGGGCTGGTCACAACCTGATTTGTGGATAGTGGCGCAAGAAGAAATCCATGATTAGCATTAGCATTGCAACAAGGATTGCTGAAGCTGTTCCTCCCTTTCCCTCGACCACATCCAGGACCAATGCATCGGAGTCATTCTAGACAATGTGTCCCTTCATTGCAGGTCGTTTCCTTCAAATGTTCATTTGGAGACATGAGCTTTGATTAAAGTTGCAGAAGTAAAGAGCGCAACTCAACAAATACTACTGTAGGAATCAGTCATAATCAAAGCAACAAATGTTTTATATTATTTTCCTAAACTAGCCAATGTGAACATAAATTTGTCTTGATAAAAAATTGGCTATTCAATGGTTGCCAGTTGATCGGACAGAATCATAATCTTGTTCAAGAAATCAATAACAGATGAAATCTCACCAAATTTGCTATAACGCCATTCAGTTCAAGCATGCGTGCAGTAGATGATTGGGAGTATGAAAAATGAAGTGTCCCGCAAATCCTTCACCATGTCACAGAATCAAGCAAAATTTCTTGAGATAAAATAAGGTAATCCAAGAGATGATAGTGTGGACCAGTGGTTTAAAAAACGGATCGGTGCCCCGGATCGAGCACTCCAAAAACCCATCCATATCGGTGATCCGGATTGGGAATCGGCCGAATCGGTCGGATTCAACCTTAAAAAAAAATTCAAAAAAATTATTAAAATTCATTATAAATGTTGTTTTCTAGGAATCCAATAAGAAATGGAGGTACTCCATTAAGAACTTTCATTTTTTTGCATCAATATGCGAATGTTGAGATGTTCTTTCCCCGCATGAACTACTGTTAACCATCAAATTTATATTACACAAAAGAAGAAGCATAGAATTATCATGAATGAAGTATATCATCATACATGGACTATAATAAAGCGTACAATTCGTAAAATACGACCTAATAATAAATGAAAGACGACGTTGTTCTTCATCTTGGACACGCTAGTGCCATTGATTGAATTCGCGTGACAATTCATTGACTCGATCTAGGAACGAATCATCCAAATTAATGGGTACCTGACTATACCCAAATCCCCGAGTGTTAATATTTTGTTGCACTCCTAATCCACGAAGCTTGTCCATCCTTCATGCTCACCTACACCGTCGTGCTCGTCCCTACCCTCTTGCTGTTGGGAATAATTTGGTTGGGATAGGGTGGCCTCAGAATCATCATCTCTCTCATTTTCCCTTATACCCCCTTCCCACTCTCCCTCATTAGGTGCAATAGCACCGATATCTTCCACGAATTGTGGATATGTTGGCGGGCTCTTTCTCTTTCATGTTGCTCATCACTTTCATCATGATCTTCCTCACGGATAGCCTCAAAGAATGCTCTCTTGTGCAACACTGACTCCTCTTCCTCTACTACCCATTCTTCTGTTGTGTTGCACAAGGAATGCTCTCTTGTGCAACACTGGCTCCTCTTCCTCTACTACCCATTCTTCTGTTGTGTTGCACAAGAGAGTGTTCCTTGTGCAAAAGAATCGTTCCTTGTGCAGAAGAATGGGTAGTAGAGAAAGAGGAGCTAGTATTTCACAAGAGAGCATTCATTAAAGCTATCAGTGAGAAAGATCATGATGAAGCTGATGAGCAGCATGCAAGAAGAAGCAGCCCACCAACATATCCACAATTCGTCGGAGATGTTGGTGGATTGGACCTAATGAGGGAGAGTGGGAAGGCGGTATAAGGGAAAATGAGAGAGATGATGATTTTGAGGCCACCCTATCCCAACCAAATTGTTCCCAACAATACGACAGTGTAAGTGAGCTTGAAGGATGGACAAGCTTCGAGGATTTTTTATTAGGAGCGCAACAAAACACTAACACTCAGGGATTTGGGTATGGTCAGGTGCCCATTAATTTTGATGATTCGTTCCTAGATTGAGTCAATGAATTGTCATGCGAATTCAATCAATGGCACTAAGGTGACCAAGATGAAGAACGACGTCGTCTTTCATTTTATTATTGGGTTGTATTTTACAAATTGATGCTTTATGAAGTCCATGTATGATGATATACTTCATTCATGATAATTCTATGCTTCTCCTTTTGTGTAATATAAATGTAATGGTTAACAGTAGTTCATGCCGGGAAAGAACATCTCAATATTAGCATATTGATGTAAAAAAATGAAAGTTCTTAATGGAGTACTCCCATTTCTTATTGGATTCCTAAAAAACAATACTTATAATGAATTTAATAATTTTTTTGGATTTGTTTTAAGGTTGAATCCGACTGATTCGGCCGATTCCCGATCTGGATCGTCAATTCACCGATCTAGATGGGTTTTTGGAGTGCCCGATCCGGGGCACCGATCCGTTTTTTAAACCACTACCGCAAATGAAGGGGATATTTGGTGTTTTCCACGGGAGAAAATTTGAGGAATCAAGTTCAGTAATCTGAAAAAGGATATAGGAAGACGAACAAGATCCGGCATAAGGAAAAGTATAACAGAAAGAAAAAGGATGCCCCCGTTTTGATTTGAACTGCGATGAGCAGATCAAGTAAATGTTACTTCACATGAGAATGAAAGCAAACTTTTTTTTTCTTTTTTTTTGGAAAAAGAATCTACAAAGATTTTTTTTTTTTTTTTTTTTTTGAGGGGCACGTGAAGAACCTTCCCCCTAATACGGAGATTCACGTGAAGATAGAATTGATTGTTTCTTCTTTTTTTCAAGGTATGAGGATGGACGATTGGAGATGAATAAAAGAAAGACCCCTTCTTTGAATGACGGTTGAAGCAATAGCAAGGGAGAGGGGAAATTTCTAAGGTTTTGAGTAGTTATGCTATCCACATGATTTATGGAGATCATTTCTGGACTTGGAATGTGAATAAGTTAGATATGGGATCAGGGCTTTGGTTTCAGAAACCACAACATTTCGGACAGTGAGGATCTAGAGAGAGGGAAGGGGTAAGAGATATTTATAGACAAAGGAAGAGAGGGAGAAGAATGGAGAAAAGGAGAGGAAAAGGACGAAGAATGGGATTTGCAAGATGCTTACAAGGAGCTGGAATGGGTCAACCTTGAGATCTAGATCTTCAGTTCTAATATCTTGTGAAAATGTCATCAAAATGAAGAAGAAGATGCTAAAGTGAGATATTAGGAATGGAGAAGAAGTCTAGTTGTCCAACCATCTATCATTCTTTTGAAACATGTGCTGGTCATCCAACCACTCTGTTGACCCAATCTAATGATATTATATGTATTAGGGTTAAGAGTACTTCACTCTTATACCCTCCATGTACATGAGAATTACAGTGTACAGTGGTCACATTATTTGGATAATAGACATAAAAATATCCAATATTACCACTACGCCACATGTGCAATACAAATGCAATGTATTATAATGCTAATAGGAAGGCACCAGGTGGGACTATCTTGGAGCAAAATGGTTAGAAGGTGCCTCACTCAGGATCCTTACAGGTGGCAAACCTCAAGTGGCCACCATCGAGGGACCTGTGGGCCTGTGGGAGAAATATAGCCCATAGAATGATCGGCTGATATTAATAAGCGCACCCAATTGGTATCTAGAAATTTGATGATAACACCATCTTCTCCAACATGGACCTACTCAAGATGTATCGACCATCTTCTTTCTCCCCCTCTTCATCTAGAGAAAACATTAAGAATGATCCTCCACAACCTGATGCAAGGAATGATAAACACATATCATTCCTGAACCATCCATCGGTCTTTTGCTTTTTATGATTCAGTTTCTGCAGTGCATCCTCATTTGTGTAATGCATGATAATCTTAGGCCATTATTGACCCAGCCATTAGTTTTCGGTTATTATGATTCAATTTTACAGCTCATCGTTATATGTGTCATCTATATGCCTTGATAAGTACTGATCATTCTAAGTAGCATTTCAACTCTGTTAGTGAAAGACGTGGCCATGTGGAATTCTACGGAATAAAATCAAAAAATTTCTCTGTTCTTCATTAATGTAACTGTATTCCAATAACAAGTGCCACAAAACCATATTGTAAATAGGGAAATTAGCACTATATACAACCTAGGATCTTTCCTTTTACTGCAAAATAAATACAACTCAATCCAAGGGACAAAAACTTTAACTTTCAATTATAATACAAATAATGTTCTTAGAAATACCAATAAACCAAGCAATATTGACTGAAAAATAAACAAAAATATTATGGAAGACTTGCTAGACTTTTCCTAGGGTCCCCCGCTTAGGATTTGATATACCCCACACCCAATTACTTGATAGATGGCACATTCTGATCCTATTGGCCCTGGTGAATTCTTTGAGTCGGGAAGTTCCTTTAGCAAAACCCTTTTCAAATTTGAGGTTAGATCTAGGATTTTCCATTACCTGATAAGGCCCTTAGGGCACGCCACGACCTCCCTTTTGTCTCTCTAGGGTTGGGCTTGCCACTCTCTTCTTGCCTTTGGGTGGACATGCCATGCCCTTTGAGACCAGAGAGAGATGAGAGAGAGGGAGTGGCAGAGAGAGGCAGTGGCAGAGAAGTCAAATGGTTAGAATGAAGAGGGCTACCCTCCATTTATGGCTTTCAAGGTTTCCTGGTTTGCCCATCTAAATTAGAACTCCACTTGGCCATAAGACCCTAAGAAATTTGTGACGAGAGAGAAAAATAATTTGAATCATCCACACTAAAAATCAGCCATCATGATCTAAGGAGGAATCCAGGAACCTTATCCCCTGATTATTTGACCCATATCCACTTCTAGTCAACCTAGGATAAGACCAGCCAAATATCATCATGTATTTTGACTAGAAGTTCCTCTTCTCTCACCAAGAGATTGTAGGAATTCAAAATCAAAAAAAGATTTGGTCAAATAAGCGATAAAATGAGGGAAAGTAGACTCAGGTGGACTGGTCATGTACAATATATACCTCATACAGCCTCGGTTAGGAGGGACAAATTGGTTTAAGTGGAAAGCTCTAAAAGGGCAAGGGGAAGGCCTAAAAAGACATGGATGAAAGTAGTGAGAAGAGATATGGTGATTTATGGCCAAACTGAAGGTATACCCCTTGATAGAGTAGAATAGCATAACAGGATTCATGTAGCCCACCCCAAATAATTGGGATAAAGCTTGTATGATGATAATGATGGTCCCGGATTGTGGATTATAGGTTCCCCACCCCCCAAAGAGCAAGTCACACGCACATATTGCTATAGTACAAGGCGGACTCACTCTAAATCCATGTACATTTATGCCTTTGTAGGGTTGCTTCTCGGAATGCGGCTATTATGTCACCATTTTCAAAAAATAAAAATAGAAGTTTCGAACATCAATACTCAAGGAGATTTCTAGTTAGGACCTTACATTGCTGCCTCAGAGTAAGCACTTAGCTACCTACACGAGGATTTCAAAGAGAGATATCTACCTGATGTAAAAGTGGAGAGATTAATATCTCATATAGTTCTAAAAGGACAAATAAAGGAAAATGCATAGTTTCCAAGGAGATCTTTGACAATGTTGTATGACTACTAAACCATATGAATTCTCCATATTACAATCAGAAAGCATGGGCTTCAACTTGATGAAAGCATAATTTCCTATAAAGAAGTAGCCCCTCAACTCAACAATCAAGGAAAAAATTAGTATATCAGCCTTTCAGTCTCAAATTTAAAGCTAACAACACTTGAGAAGAATTTGCTTACGATACGATTATGGCGCTTAGTGATGAGCAAGTGAACCTAAAAATGAGCTATCTAGCTAATGGAAGAGAAGCAATATTAAAATGTTACCTTGTCACAAAGGTATAAATGGAGCACAGATAGATTCTAAGGAGGCCTTTGTTTATATTGTCAAGCATGTCTTTATAGTTGCTACAACCATTGTTTTTCTCAACGTAGTATCATTTTGTATAGAACCAGCAGCATGAAGAAGTTTGAATAAACTATAAATAGTCTATGAACTTAATGCCTCAAACAATAGTTTTCAACAAGGTTTAAGAAATTTAGAGGAAAATGGTCATTCCAGCAGTGTCCAATTATATTTATTCATCAAGAGCACTATTTTAAGCAATGTATTACCGATTGTATATAGGTCACATTTCACTACTGAGGACAATTCTAGAATGTTGCATAGCTGAACGGGGAACTTGCATCACAGGTTTGAGATCCAAAGATTGATGAATGCTGGAATAATTCCTTAGAACACAAGAGATTAGGTTTATTCCCATTCTTTCTTTTTATTGGTAGGAAGAAGCTAGATATGACAAAGGGAATATTCTCTCCAAAGAAACAATAGTTATTCTTATATGAAATTCAGTGCTCGGAGAAATGCCATGTGATACTCCTATGAAGCAAGATCGCTGCAGTCTATGAACTTAAATAAACCAATAAAGGACACAAGCATCCATTATAGAGTGGTTGCTAGTTGCTACGCTCACATTTACCTTGCAAAAACACACAGTAGGTAGCATTGTTAACAAAGTTTTACAAGATCGCAGAAGATGAAGTATTTAATATCATCATCATTGTCAAAGCCTTGTCCCAACTAATTGAGGTCGGCTAGACAAATCTTGCTCTACTATTCTGCTCTATTAACACTCATACCTTAGTAAGGCCATAAGTCCTCATATCCTCTCCCACTACTTCCAACCATGTCCTTTTGGGCATATCCCTTGCTCTTCTTGAGCCTTCCACTTGAACTAACTCACACCTCCCAACAGGTGTTGTACTAGATCTGCGCCACACATGGCCAGCCCATCTAAGTCTACTCTCTCTCATCTTATTGCATATTGGTGCCACACCTAAATTTTCCCAAAGGTATTCATTTTGAATTCTATCACTTCTTGTCTTGCCACTCATCCATATAATAAATACTAACATGATGATCAAAAATGCTATATCACTCCCAAGAAGTAGGGGTTCGGTGGCACCCATTTGCTCATTCTAAGAATTGAGATGCAGAATATATATCCTTCTGGTAGGAGGTTGATCACTAGCAACTGAGTCTCTTTTATTTGCCCCCAACAAAAAAAAAATTGAGCTCATTTGAGGAGGATATGATATCCTACGCAAGTAAGTGGTTCCAATATGGCCTGTGAATTCGAGGAGACAAAGAGTTTAGGGTGAGCATATATTTCAGATTAAAAATAATGCTGCCGGACAAAAATCAAATCCACCAAAACAAAAATAGAAATTAAAGGCTAAATCACCAAAAAACGAAATTGAATCACAATTCTACCAATCCATATCTCATATAAAACAATCACATAGAGCAGAAGACTTTCAACAAGTACGCGAGAATGTAACTGGAGTTGTGAAGACTTCATCCCAAGTCATGATGGGTGTGTTTAGCAAAGAACCAGAAGACAATTTCCTATTGCTGACAAGAATAAAACGATGACTAAGAGTAAAATGATGGAATAGACATGGAATCAAGTAAATCATGACTAAAAGTTCTAACCTCAAACCCTAGAACAGTCAGCCTCTCTTCATCAGCTGCGGGGACACAGCTCCTGAAAATAAGATAATTCTGCTCCACGGCCTTCGTTGTGGAAGAAACATCCAGCAATCTTCTCCACCGTAGATGTCTCATTGAAGTTACAAAAGAGATGCTATTTTTTTTTACTGGAAGAGAAGAATCCATGTAACTCTCTTCTAAAGTGGACCTGCCCTTTTGGATTGTGGTGCCGCTTGATTCGTGGAAACCATTATGAATTTCCGCACATTTTATAGGAATGCGATAACCAGTTTCACTGCAGTGATACTTCTCATCATTCTGTGTAAAACCAATGAAAGAACTGAAGTTGAGAAGATGATTTGACAGAAGAGAAAATAAATACAGGTAATATGAATCTGAACTATTAATATTTTGGACAACAAAGGGCGTTCATTCTGGATATCCATTCTCCTATGGAAATATCCATCTGAAATTCGAAGAAACAATAATTTGCAACTAAATATAAAGCCCCAAAACCAAAATCAATCATACAAGCTCCAAAAACTTGTGCACCAAAAAGAACGGGTCATCCATTATTGATTGTCAATAAAGAAACATCTTTTCATTGTTATACAGATGGCCAATAAAGAAATAATTTTTCCATGAGAATTGCACAATTTCCAACACAAGTAGCCAATGAATCACATGAAACCATCACTAAAATTAGAAAAAGAAAATGAAAGATGATAAAGTAGACATTTATTTCTTTCCACCAAAAAGAAAAGGAGACAACCTTTTCAGAATACTGGCAGGCGATGCAAGGGCCTGAAGGAGTGCACTCAAAGGTGGAGTTTCCCTTCTTCTCTCTGAACATAAGCAAGCGCCCTTCTAACCTGAAAAGCACCAAAGCCTCACTTTGCATTGTTTTCAAATTACCAAAACAGAAATGGTGATGCGCAAGAGAGAGAAACATGGAGGAGATCACTGTGTTCAATATTTAACGGGAAGGAAAACAATCAGTGTGGAAGCAAGTAGCAGAGAAGAGGAGAAAGGGATTATTGACAAAGGAGAGAGAGACCTGTGATCATTTGCGTGAACCCACGCAAAACAGAAGAAAGCAGCAGCCATGAAATGGAGCAGAACTTCCAGAATCCGCGTAGCAGCCATGGAGCGGGATCACTTCTGGGTTTCTCCAGCTCCGACGTCCAAATGCCCGCAATTTTGAGACCAGGAGGTGCCTCTTCACCTGCAACTTTCAACTTTCAACAGTGGCCGGAGGGAGACCAAACTATTACCATAAAGCGACGGTGTATGATACATGTATAAGAGCACATATACTATGCTCCCTCTGGAGCATAGTTTACTTCAAGTCCCTCGGTCAAAAGACCTGCGTGGAGGATTTTTCTCCTTCCGAAATTTTGGGACAGGAGAAAAAAAATTGAAATTTGAGCTTTATTTCATCATCTTAAAATATAAATATATAGGATACAATTAGGAATTTTTTATTAAAATTAATATATGGGTTGAAGAATTTATGTCCTAAATTTTGGAGTCCTAAAACTAAGGAAAAATTAGATGCAGATACAAACATGATCTCAAAAATATAGAAAGATCCGTACTTCTTTAAAAATTACACAGAAGGTCGGTCTTCCTATGGTTTTTTATTTTTGCCAATTTGGCCCTTGGCTTGTTGCCAATATCAAACCAATTTTTATTTTACGTTTTAGAGTCAGTTTGGATGTACCAAAAATTAAAATATGTTTTAGTTACAATCTAAAAATCTTATAAATCAGACTTTGACTGCTCGGACAACCGCACGATTTTACCATTTTTGTAGGTTAAAAGAAAAAAAAAAACTCTTCTCAAAACAAAAATTACCATCCAAAAAATTCAAGTTAGACTTGAATTTATTCGGATGAAAGTGCGCCCTTTGTCCTTCGTCTCCTTCGGCGCCTCTTCTGCTCTCTCTCGCCTCACACTGTCTCAACCATCTCTGCTCCCTAACTCCCTATCGTCTATTTGCTCTCTCTCCTCTCTCGCCTTTCTGCTCTCAGTGACAAAGCCCTCTCTCTCTCCTCTCTCGCCTCTCTGCTATCATGCTATCAGTGATAAAGCCCTCTGTCTCTCTCAGTGACAAAGCCCTCTGTCTCTCTCAGTGACAAAGCCCTCTCTCTCTCCTCTCTCGCCTCTCTGCTCTCAGGAGAATTGGGGTTAGGGTTCGTATCAGCGCTAAGGTTCAATGAATCAGGGTTTGGATTAGGGTTAGGGTTTTGAGAAGGGCCCTCCGATGAAGAAGAAGTGGTTGTGGTTAGGAGAGGCAAGTGAAGGTTTTGGTCAGTTGAGGGAGATCTTCTTTGACGCCCTTTGATGGAGGAGAGGAGGAGTCTATCGTTCCTTCTTCTGAGGATTGTGGGTCGTCCATGACAAGGGGAGGCTAGAGACCTTACAACCCATGACATCTCTCTCTCTCTCTCTGGACCTATAAAATCAGAAAGGGAATGGGATCTAAAGGCTCTCTATGTTTTTCTCTCTTGAAGAGGATCTGCTCTTTCTCTCTACTTTTTCTCTCTAAAAGGGGTGTCCAAATTCTCTCTCTAGAAACGCTCTCTCTGTTTCTCAGTCCGAGGAGAAGAGGCGATGCAGAAGATGGATCTAATAAATGTTCCTTTGCATTTTGTTTGTTTCGGGGTCGATGTGACAAAAAGGCAAAGATGGGGCATGGTTGACAACACTTTTCAGGTAGGGGGTTTTTTGACAAATCAACGAAATTATATGTCGAAGTAGTTTACCAACATAATAAAATAAGTCGACATAATAAAATAAGACGAGAATGTTTACCAAATGAAGTAGAAAAACTGGCCTTTACTTTTTCCAGATGTAGGGTTGTGTCTTGTGTTTTAAGGCACTTTAGAACCAATCCGATGTCCTAATTATCGAACTAGTCTAGAACTAAGGCCTTAGGCCACAATGACACCAATCCGAGGTCCCAAATCTCAGACCACATACTGGATTGGGAATTTCTAGATCAGTTTGATGTCTTCAACATTGTCCATTTTAGAGCGGTCCGATAAGATAATTAAGTCTACAGGTCCAAAAGTGCCCAAAAACACAAGTCACAACTCTACGTTTAGAAAAACCAAAAAACAACATCAAATAGGCAAACTAGGAAAAGAACTGAAGGGGACTGACCTACTGCTTAATTTTTAAAAAAATAAGGATTTTTTTGTATTTTCCCCTTAGTCCCCAAAATTTTGGGTCTTAAAATTAATGCTAAGTGGGATTTTATCCAAGGGAGTAAATGGATAGTATATTCCTACGGGAGTATAACATCTTTTGGCATGTGAAAAATCCACAGATATTTTAACTCATTAGCGTCAATAAAAAAAATCGTAATTGTATCTTTTATGCACTGAAAAATAAAAAAAAGTTTTGAGATTGAATAGAGACCATCCAAATTTTAATAAGACAGATCTAAAGGTTAGAAATTTCAAATTTCTTTTAAATATATTCATCTACTAGTTCTTAAAGTAGTTCCTAAATTTTCTTTTTGAAAAAAACGTCCCACCAGTGCATGACATGAAATGAGTTAGCGGATGGTAAACAGTGCTTAAATTCTATCTCAACCATCCATCATCTGCTACAAAAGATTTAGTATCGATGATGTGGATGTTGTCTACTTCCTAACAAATCCTAAAACCTTTTGTTTATTTGAGAATTTTGAACATGACAATTATACAATTGTGTACAAATATATTTTCAGTTTCAATAGTCAATATAAGAAGGACAAGGTTTCTATGAGCTGGCCGACTGGTCTATTCACATAAGTATTCTATCCAAAATCTAGATGTTGGATTCAAAATTTGAGGGAACGAAAATGTCAACCATGATATATAGGAACCTGAAAAAAAAAAAATTAAAATAAAAATACAAATTTTTTGACATAGTTTTAACACCATAGTTTTTAAATTTGGAAAATTGTTTCGTGCAGGCTGGACCGCATTTCTACATATGCATTCCAGAAAGTGTAAAGAATCCATCTTAAAGACTGATGCAAGTAGGTGTTCTATCTAAAAACAATAGAAACTAACGGTCCAAATGTTTTTTTATTAGAATTATTGTTTCTAGGTTTTAAAATTTATTTATTTATTCATATTCATGATCTGCATCTTTAAAAATTAAGTCTTAAAATTCATCTCAAAAATAGATTTATTAAGAGGCCCATATTTCTACATATGTGGGTTTGGCCGCATAAAAACCAGGTCCTTTAAATTTTTGCAAGGCTACCATTTTCTAACGTCCATCTCCAAGTTGGATGGTACAAATGTCAGGGGATGTTTTTTTTTAAGTGTGTCCCCTGATGCACATATTATTTTTTCATTTAAAATTGGCTCAACAACTCACACATATCTCACATGGAGAGAGAGGGGGGAGAGGGGATGAGCAAACAAATAACATAATAAAAAATCTAAATATTTCCCACAAATTAAGTGTAAATAAAGAAATTCATCATAAAAAATGCTAGTATCATATTGATCTCTCTCAATAATATAAGCGATCAATGTGAGACATTATCTTATGAACGATTGTTTCATGCGGGCTTAACCGCATTTGCACAATATACGGTCCAGAGATATAAAACATCCATCTTAAAGATGGATTATCAAATCCGTGGTCTATTTAAAAACAACTGTAACTAATGGTCCAAATGTTTTTTTAATATAATTTTTATTTCTAGTTTTCAAAATTTATTTATTTTTTTGTATTCTTGATCTCCATGTTAAAGATTATATATTCCCTAAAAATTAAAATCAAATTATATTAAAAATATATATTTCTTGCCAATCCCGCATTTCTACATGTGTGGGCTTGGCCGCATGCTAGCCGTGTCATTATCTTAATAATTAGATTAATAATAAACATGGGTGCAGTTATATAAGGTTCCAACCTTAAACAATCAAAGTAATAAACCAAACTACTAATCCTAGATACTTGAGCCTAATAAACATAAAATACTTACCCGAACATCAGCCTGATACTTAGAAACCTAAAACTTATTACCTTAAAGTCCTATTCTTGTAGACTCCTAAAAATCACTCAAATTGGATCAAACTTGACTGCAAATTATAGAGGAGATCACAAACTTTCTAATAGTTGAAGAATCACTCAAATCTGGTATACGATTTGGAAGTTATGGCTTGAATAATTTTGTGCTCGAAAATTCTATTTTGGCCCTTGTGTGCAATTTTAAAAGATTTCAGGCGTTTCATGTAGCTTTTGGGTTGGTCCTTATATGCATTGTAGCTAGTGAAACCCTAGGAAGTAAGGGAATATTTCTTAGGCGAAACATAGAACCCGACCCTATATAAACCCCCGAACCGTCCATAATTAAATCATCCAAAATTCTCAAAAATCACAAGAAAATCCTATAAAATCCAAAAAATATAGAAAAATCTTAGAAATTCAAAAAATCCCTATAAAATCCAGAAAATCTTAGAAAAACCTTATAAAATCCCTCATGAATGAGAAAGACTAGAAAATTAGGAAAATAGCCAAAAACCCTGGGAAAATCCATACAATCCATAAATCTATAAAAATATATATAATTGAGAATATTATAAAAACCCTAGAAACTAAAGATCTAAAAATCCTAGAAAATCTTTAAAAAAAGCCTTAAAAAACCCTCACGCTTAGCCTAAATCCTGAAAATCCTAACCATATTAACCTTAAGCTTATTCTCTACAATTTCAAGACTCTAATTTCAAATTTAAAAGTCTTATGAAGAAAATGCTCTAAGCAAACCAAAAGCCCTAGGATGAATATGCCCTATGCCTTTTTTCAAAAAAAGAGAAGGAGATATGTATTAACAACCTGCGATTTGATACAGGCACCATCTTCGAATCTTCGCGTGTACTGAGCCAATAAGATTGGGGAGATAAGTTTTACTTTCTTTTCCTTCAATTTTAGTTTAATATAATGATTAAGTTTAATTTTTTCTTTACCGATCTTTAATTTTAACAATTAAAAGCATAAAATTAGGAAGGTTTCATCTGAGATCTCTTCATATTTACGTTGTAAGTAGGAGCCAAGTTCGGCAAGGTAGGCTAAAGGCTGCCATCTCATTGTTGGGTCAGTTATTTAAAATCACCTCTGATAAAAATTATATTTTTATTGAAGGGTATTTTAGTTACTGCAAAACCATTTTGAGTAGTATATACCATTTGTAGATAGATAAAGGGGCATGGGTGCGGTTTCTATAAGGTTGCAACCTCAAACAATCCAATTAAGGTGCGCCTCCAAATTTTATCGTAACAAGTAATTTTGTTGTAAAAAATTCTTAGGACTATCTTAAAATCTATTTTCACATCTAATTAGAAAATTTTAAACTCCAAAAATAGTTAAAATCAAGGAGATCTATAAACATATGAAAATCTTGGAAATGGACAGCCTAGATAATGTGTTGCAAGATGCACTATTTATGAGACTCAAAAATATATTTTTTTTTTTTATATTCATACATCTCGATGTCGAGATGATTAAATAGAGGATTTTTCAATATTAAAATGATCATTCCGATAGATTTTTGAGGTGTATCTGTAATTCTACATTTTAAGGTTGCAACCTTATATAAACTTTTCCCTTTTAGTTCCTGTGAAACCATTTTAAGTAGAGACTTTCTACACCATTTTGTAGATAGATAAAGGGGTTATTTTTGGTGAGGGAGAGTATTTATTGAGGTTGAGATTGGATGTTTTGGGAAAAAACATCATTACCATTTTGACCTATTTTCTAATTCATTACCATTTTGGCCTATTTTCTAATTTTCATTCATTATAGGCGGAGTCTTAGTGATGGAGTCGACAATGGAAGTTGGCTCGATGGTTGTTTCGTGGCAACATGAATGAGAATGTATAGTGCTTTGCGGATTGTAAAGTAACTATTGTATTTACCTAATGTTGTGATTGTTCTATGATAATTAAATTATCTCATTGTTGATTGCATGTGGATGTAGTTCGATTAGTGAGAACCACCCATACTTGCAAATGCCCTGGTGTTTGGGTTGTAGTTTGGGTCTTTTGAAATCGATTTGCTTACAATAGACGAGTTGGGTCAATCAAGAAAGTCTCAATTCTCAACAACCATGAATTAGGTGTTTAACCGAAAAAAGAAATAAAGAAAAATAAGTAAAAAGGAAAAGAAAATTAGGAATAAGAGCAATCATAAGCATACGTAAACCCACACACATTATACGAAAAGTTCTGCTTTTTCCTAAAGAAAAATTTCATATGGAGCTAAGGTTCTAAACAATCAATTTAGAGTCCACCTCAAAAATTTCACTAAAAAAGGTTGTTTAGATGCTCAAATATCCTCAAATTAATCATCTCCACATCAGGATACATGGACATAAGAGAAAAATGGATTTAAAATTTTGAAAATAGTGTATCTTGTAATGCATTTCAATTTTCAAGATTTTCAAATGTTCATATATATGCTCGATCTACAGCTTTAAAATTTATAATTAAATATGAAAACATTATTTTAAAGCTATCACAAAGATTTTCGAAACCACATTTCTCAACACTATGGGAAGATGTGCTTTGTTTTGAGCCTCAAACCGCACCCTTTTCTAAATAACGATTATCATTACGAATATTTTGGAAAAATAATCATGAGTTCTACATTTCATATTTAGTTTTCTAAATTTTGAAATGCAATATCACAGGTGTTAACCATGTAATGATTATTTGGTTGAGTAGCTATTTTTTTTGGGGTAAGTATTTTGTTGAGTAGCTATTACTTTTGTCATTTACTGTACAGACCATTCAATAACACTATCGGTTTTTTTTAAAAAAAAAAATTTAATATTGTGCTGACCATTTCTTTCCCCCATTTGTTACCTCAATGTAACATCAGGGATATGGCCTCCCAACATTATTACAACAATGAGTTATTAAATCATTGTTTGCTTAACTACTTTGGTATTAACACACACCTCGACTAATAACTATCAATATTTTAAAAATTGGCGATCCAAATTGAAATTGCCTGATTCTAATCGAAAATCTACTGAAAATAATCAGGTTATTATTTTGAATGGTTGGTTATATAAAATATATATTATATTTTTAAAAAATTTAGAGAGTGCAAGGGCTAGCACTTGGTGCTTTAACCTAAGGTAGCAATATAAATTATGGGGGAGGTTTGTTTAAGCTTTCCATTTTAAGAAATCAAACTACGACTCACCTCCAAATGGTATCAAAAGATCTTTCAGTGCCAAAAATCCCTATGATGATATGAAAATCTATTTTCATCTCTAAATATAAAATTTAAAGTTTCATATAGTGTAGATCTAGCAGATCTATGAATAATTGAAAGGAAAAAGTTTACATAAGGATGCAAGCTTATAATGTAGAACTACGGATGCACCTCAAAAATCATCGGAAAATGTAGTTTTAATATTGAAAAACCATTTGATTGATCATCTCAATATCAAGATGTATGACCATGAAAAAAAAAAAGATTTTAAGTCTCATAAATAGTGCATTTTACAACATATTATCTACCCCGTCCATTTTCAAGATTTTCATATGTTTATAAATCTACTTGATATTTAGCAATTTTTGAAATTTAAAATTTTATAATTAGATATAAAAATAGATTTTGAGATAATCCTAAGAACATTTTACATCAAAATTATATACCATGATAAAATTTGAAGGTGCACCTTACCTCTACAGCTGCGGATGCATCCGTATGCCAACTGCACCCTAATTGAAAATCTTGAAAACAAGCAATTTAGATAATATACTACAAGATGCATTATTTATAAGACTTGATATCTTATGTCTTGAAGTCCAGATGATTAATTGAAAGATTTTTCTGAATCATTAATGACCGTTTTTGGTGAGTTCTTAAGGTGTGCTTAACTTTTATTTTTTTGGGTGAGTAAATGGGGAGAGGGCTCTACCCTTGGTAGGAATTGAGCATACGATGTAGCATTGCAAATTGTCAAGTGCTAACCAATTAAGCTTGGACTCCTTTCCTAAGTGATGATACAATAGATTAAAATGAGCCACAACATTCAAAAAAAATTATTTTAGATTTTATGCCCAATCTAGGATATATTTTTAACTACTTAATTTTACATCTAATGATCAATAATGATTACAATATCTTTAGATGAAAAATAAAAAAGGGTGTGGTTTCTACAAGGTTACAACCTTAAACCATCCAATTAAGGTGCACATCTAAATTTTATCATAATATATAATTTTGATGTAAAAAATTGTTAGGATTATCTCAAAATATATTTTTATATTTAATTGTAAAAATTTAAACTCTAAAAATAGTTGAAATCAAGTAGATCTATAAACATATGAAAATCCTAAAAATAGACTATGTAGATAATGTGTTGGAAGTGTACTATTTCTTGCATTCAAAATCTTTTCTTTTTTTTTATATATATATTCTTATATCTCGATATCAGATGATTAATTAGAAAGTTTTGCAACATTAAAACAAATTTTTTTTTTTTTTTGGTATGGATTTTTGAGGCTCATTAGTCTTCAGTTTAAGATTGCAACTTTATATAAATTTTTGGAAAATTACTAAAAATCTCTCAAAATGAGCTTTTTAGACCTTCTACCCCCACCTTAACATTTTTTTACTCTTCTTTTTAAAAAATCAACTTTCCTTACTAAAACCGCCAACCCAAAAGGCTCATGGCCGGCTCACAGCTTTTCCTGACGCTGACGGCTTCTTCCTCAAGGCTCATGGCCGGCTTACAGCTTTCTCTTTCACCACCATTGCTTCTTCCTCACAGTTTTCTATATTTTCCTCAGCTTCTTCCTCACCTCTTCTTCCCACCGGATTTCCCTCTCCATTAGCTTCCTCACGGTTTTCCCTCTCCACAAATTTCTTTCTCTCTCCATTGGCTTCCTCACGCTAATCAAATCTCTCTCTAGGCCCTACCCATTCACTTCTGCAACAAAATATCTATTTTTTATCTCCCTCTCTCTCTAAAATCGAATATCTCCATCGAGGGTGTCACTCTCCTAGTTTTTCTCTCCATCTCTTTACAATCGAAAGTCTCGTCTCTACAGAAAGGTCCCAAAAAGCTCTATTTCTCTACACAAGAAGGTCCCACGAGTCTTTACGAAGGTCCCACATAGCATAGCTATATTGAAACAAGACCTAATACAGGTCGAGGTCGATTTTTGAGGCCCAAGTATGAAAGAATAATTCAATTTAATATTTCAAAATATTGCTTTTAGTATTTATGTTGAAACTTTCACTTTGGGGTTAGAGATTGGCAAGTGAAAACGTATTTGTTAATGACATGAAGTGAAAATGTGAATCAAAAGTTTGTTACTTGTGTTAAAATTTATGTTGTTTCTTATGAAAATGTGGATGAGAACCTTTCCCTAAATTCTGCTGTTGGGTTTTTTATTTGGCCATATTGGCTGTATTGAAATTGTCATTGACAATTGAAGGAATGGATAGGTAATTCTTAAGATGCATTTTTATTCTTAATTTGTTGTAGGTATTGTCAATGTCTCTCTGTTGTTATTTTACGGTATGAATGTTATTGGTGATAGTAAAGTTTGGCTTTATTTTTTTTTATATTATGTTGATCTTATAGATGTTGATCTACATTATTTAGTTTGTTTAAATTTAGTAGCAATTCATGTTTACAAAAATCTTTTGTAAAATTTGCGTAGCTCTTGTTAAAATTTAATTTGTCAATGACAATTGAAAGAATGGACTGATAAATGGCTTAAGATGTATTGAATCTATTTTCTTAAGTTGTTATGGATATTGTCATTTTATTTGTATTTGTTATTTTAAGATATAGATGTGATTGATGGTAATAACTTTTAGGTTATTTGTATTGCATTTTGTAGAAGTTGTAGATGATAATCCATCATCTTTCTTATGTTAAAATTTAGGACCAATTCTTGTTTTATAAAGCTTTTTTAATATTTGTCAAGCTCTTGTTAAAATATAAATTATCATTAAAACACAATAAGCATAGGGCAAGTTCGAGGCTAGTATTTAAAATGTTGTATATGCAATGTATGGAGTAAGATATTACAAATATTGTACAGGACAAGAGAAAATGGGTGATAATAGATTAATTTATTGCATTTTCGGTGGAGAACTCCAAACAAGTGGCGATGGGACTTTTGATTATATTGGTGGTGATGCATTTACCTTTTTTACTGATTGTAGAACTAAGTTAGATGACATACGAAAGTACGTAGCAGAGAGTTTCTTACTTGACCTGCACGTGATATCACTGAAGTATTTTGTCCTGATAGATATAAAATTTATGGTAAACCTATTTATTGACGATGATATTGTTAGAATGTTGAATATCCATGAAGGCGAGAATCAAGTGTTAGTATATGTATTCCATGGGAGTGAACGTAGTTGTGGAAGTACTTCACATAATACTATGGCAATCGAAGAGGTTAGACCCCCACAACCTTCAAATGTATTGGTATTTGGTTCTGAATAAAGCAATGCATCAAGGTTACTTAGCACATGGGAGGATGTGCTTGTTGGGGTAGGACAACAGTTTGAATCTTTAGAAGATTTATGAAAAACACTTAGCAAGTTTGTTATAGTAAACCATTTCGCATAACGTCTTGTTAAAAATGAGGGGTATCATATAAGGGAAAAATGCAAAGGTGATGATGCAAATGGAGATATATGCTGGGAAGCTTGGCACGATGGATATTTTTCAAATCAAAACATGGATAAAAGATTACTCATGTAATATTGGGACAAGCAATGATATATAGAGAAGAGCGTCACAGAAATTTGTTGCCTCCTTAATCAAAGATAAATTAAGTGACACTACGCATTACAAGGCTAGAGAAATCATGGGTGATTTGTCTCGAGATTATGGGTTAGAAGTACCCTATTGGAAGGCTTGGTGAAACAAAGAAACGACCATCAAAGACATGCATGGTTCGCAAGAGGAAGCATACAACCAGTTACCAGTATATTTAAACCGTGTGACTGAGACGAATCCTGGTAATTATGCGACAGGACAACTATGATTGGGAGGTAGATTTCGTCGATTGTTCTTAAGCTTTCATGGGTCAATATATGGCTTCAAAAATGGATGTCGTCCACTTATATTTCTCAATGAGACATCACTGAAGGCATGATACTTGGGACTCTACTTGCTGCCAACTCACTCGATGGAGATGGACAAATGTTTTCCGTTGCATTCACAATTGTGGATGCCGAAAGTATAGATAACTGATTATGGTTTCTGAAATATCTAAAGATTGATATTGGGGCGGATTGTGAAATCATATTTTTGTCAAATAGACACCCTGGTGTAGTTGATACTGTATGTCAAGTTTTTGATAATGCTCATCATGCCTTCTGTGAGCGTCATTTAGTGGAGAATTTTAAGAAGGATGTAAAACACATACCTAACGATGTTAAAAAGGCAGTTGTATATGCCTTTATCGGAGCATATAGAGCATTTAGGCAGCAAGAGTATTTTGATAAGATAATAGAAATTAGATCACTTTTTGAGGACGCATTTAAGTGGTAATCGATATGACCAAGTAATAACCAATGTGGCTGAGTCATATAATAAGTGGATTTTAGAAGCATGAGATATGCCAATTCTCTAGTGTGTTGACTTGATTAGGAGACAAATCATGAAACTAATGGCCACTCGCAGTTTGAAAACAGAAACATGGAATACAAGACTTACCTTGCAAGCACAAAGCAAATTAAAAAAAATCATTAAGCAATCCCTTTCCGTGAGCGTAACTGTGGCATAAAATGGAGCAGTGTATGAAGCAAGGGGTGATCACATGAATTATACAATAAATATTATTGCACGAGAATGTGAATGCTGGGGTTGTCAAATAACAGGTTTACTTTGTAAGCATGCTTGTAAAGCCCTTCAAGCAATGAATAGGGATCTTGTTTACTATTGTGAAGAATATTTCACAGTTACAAAATTCTATGAAACATATTCCGTACCTATCATGCCAATTACCTTGATCAACTTATCTGGGCATAGTTTACATAGACAGCATCCTCCAGAGGAAGTAAGAGTACTTCCAACTTACTCAGGACGCTCCCCTGACCGACCTAAAAAGAAGCGCATCAAGTCGTAGGAAGTACCGGTGCGAGCTATTTATTGTAGTCGGTGCAAAGGAACATGTCATAACAGGGCAACATGTAAAGTACCTATTTGAAGGCACAAGGAAATATTGGTGTTTTTTATTTGGTCTTTCTTATTTGTAGCACCCAC